GGAAGCAAGAAAGGGAGAAAGGAAGACCCTGGAAAGATGGGCATTGTGTCTCATGTCCTAACACGTAAGGAAGGAGCAGGCAAATGCCCATTCAGCTCTGCCCTGGCCTGAGGCCCAGCCAGGTCAGGAATTTATGATCTCGGGCCCCTGAGGAATGGGATGATGATATCCGAGCCATGGTATTGTGTGAAGCAGGGATAGGATTTAGAGTGGGGGCGGGGTTTTATAGGCTCCAGCCTGGAGAGACTCTGGAGGCTTGGAGAGGAGGGAGCTCCACAGACTTTGGGTGCTATCTCAAGGGTCAAAACCCCACCGGGTAGAAAATGTTCTCTCTGACTTTAAGGGTCCTAGGGACAAAGCATTCTCTCTGAAGTCACACAGCTCACGATTGGACCTGGAACCCAGCTCAGCTGATCGGCTGCTCCCAAAACAGGGAACCCTGGATAGGGATAGGGTGTGGCTACAGGTTGGGATAGTTGCTATACCTTGGAAAGGGGTAGATGGATCAAGAAAATAGGTATGGAAAGGAAGGGAAGCTAGAAGGAGTGGGGACAGCAGCCTTCTGCTCTGAGCCTCAGGGCCATCCCTGTCCCCAGCTCCACCCCCAGGCCCCTTCCTGCGCATTGCCTGCCAGGCACTGAGGGGACCTGCAGATAAACAAGTCTTTCATCACTGCAGGGGAGGCTGGCACAGCTTCTAAGTGATTCAGAGACCTTGGAGCTAGGAGACTGCATCTTCATGGTGGGGACAGGAGATGGACCAGATGCTAGGAGCCCAGCGCTGCAGCGTGCCTGCCTGCAGCTTCCTTGGCATTCCGCACACAGCTGTGTGACCTCACTGTGACTAGCGTAGGTGCAGAGTAAGTCACACACTCTCTGTGTGTCCTCTCATTTCACACTCCTGGTCACACCTTCAGCTCACAGGTGAGACACAAGACATCAAGATGCCAAAGTGAGCCAGGTCAGACCCTGCACGTGCCACAGTCAAGGCCATAAGTGCTACTGGTAGAAGGTCATTGTGTTTCCAGGCAATTGCCTGGCTTGCCCCACCCACCTACACACACACCTTTCTCTCCTGTCCCTCCCTCCCTTTAGCTCTGCTCTTTTCCCACAGACACTCATTAGGGACCACGTGTCTTCTTTGTGCTAAGAACTGGGACTCAGTCAAGTATTTGTCAAGCCCCAGCTATGTTATGCCATGTTATGCGCTGGACATGCAGTAAGCTATTTAAAGGGTTTTATTTACTTACTTTATGTGTGTGTGCCTGCCTGGGTGCATGTATGTGCATGCATATGTGCACCGTGTAAGTGCATGAGGTCAGGAGGGAGTGCTAGATCCTCTGGCTCCAGGGTTATAGGATGTTATGAGCCACTGTGTGGTACCAGGAACTGAACCCAAGTCCTCTGGAAGAGCAGCAAGGGCTCTTAATCACTTGAGCCATCTCTCTAGCCACTCAGTAAGACATTTATTTAGTGGCTACCAGCTGTGTGCCCGGCCCTGTAAGTTCAATGGAACATCATTAGATATTATCTCTGTGCCAGGCTCTACATGGTGAGCTCTATCAGACTTTGGGGGCTCAGCAGAGCAAGTATTTATTAGCTGTGTGCCAAGTTCTCCTCATCTAGAGAGGCAACCTTGCTCCCATCCCCATGAGTTTTCTCTGCAGTCCCTTGCCATGCTGTGGCTACCCAGAACCGCTCAGTACAATGGCCTCCGCTCAGCACCTTCTGCGCAGAGCACCATGGTTGCTGATCCCAGCCTGCCTTGGAGGGCCAAGTGACGGTGGGCCCTGAGGTTCTCTTCTCAGAGCCCCTGCCAGCTCCCTTCCTGAGGGGTGGGGTGAGGGCAGAGTCCTGACAAAGGCGTTCTTTGCAAACAGAACAGGCTGCCCTTGAGGTTGCCTAGTGGCCAGAGCACAAAAGGAAGCTCAGTTAAACAGGGACAGCTCCCACCCTTCCCTTCTGGCCTTTTACATAGTGATTGTGCTATGGGAGATGTGAAAATTTTCCACGGCACAGTGCAAGGGCCAGCAGAACCAAAGCAGGCAAGCGGGCTAACGGGTCAGGACCATAGGTAGCCATTTGTGTTCATTCGTTCCTTTTGTTCTGTCTCAGCCTGGCCCCTCTGTGTGCCTGCTGAGAAGGGTCACATTTTTTTTTTAATTTATAACTTATGTGTGTTTCAAGCTTTTCACAACAGGTGGAAAAGAAGTTACCCATGACACAGTGTTTGCAGCCTCCCTTGTACGTTAGAGACACTCCTGACATGAAGTGTCAAGCTTGATACTTCTGCCAAGGTACTGGCAAGTTTCCCAGAAAGAAAGAAAGAAGAAAAAAGGGGAGGGGGGAGGCAGGAAGTGGTTCCCTTGCACCAAGGAAAAAAATGACAGCTACCATCTAGTTACAAATTTTAACTATGGGCCAAGACTTCCTGGGAAATAGATGTGTCATTGTAAACCAGCTGTGCAGACTTTAGGACCCCAGTGCCCTGGCTCGGATCTCACCTCTGCTTCCTCTAGCTGTGGTCTAGAGCAACAAGCTCTCCCCAAGGCTGCTTCCCCAACTATAAAATGGTAACAAGAGTCAGGTATCCATTGCGGTAAACAAATAAGCTGTGCCACATCATTTGGAAGAGGATGTCTGATATGTTCACAGCCTTCTAATGCCAGCAGTGAGGAAGAAGGAAGAGCGTGGACTTAGCTGTCAGGGAGACCTGGCCGCTTACGAGGGAATCTCACTTGTAACTCAGCTTTACTAGGTCAGGCCTCTGATTAGCCCACTGCATAGGTAAAGTCAAGGCCATGCCCCTGTTAAATGACTGAATTAGGCCCCAACCGGGTTTAACTTCTCAACTTCTACCAACCATCACATAGGAACCCCTGGCAGGAGAATCCCAGATGTGACACCAAGCCTTGATCTGAAGCCACTCATCCCCTCCTTCCTGCTACTCAGCAGCCACGGCTGTGGAGGAACCTGTCATTTCAAAGCCCCAAGCTGGCCTTTAGACTGGCCTGGTCTAGGGAGTTGGTGGTAGACCAGTCTTGCTACAGGGAGAGGCGCTACTTCAAGGCCAAGAAGGATGAGGTGGCCTAGGGCTGCCACAAGAAGGGGCTCACCAACCTCTGTGGCTTCTGGCCTCTTGATGCTTGGCATAGGACTGTAGAAAGGGCTGAAGATAGACTCTGAGACTTTGGGATGGCTCATCCCAGGCCATTAGGAAAAACCACAATTCTGCTGGTGAAGGGAGAATTTCTAAGCATGGCAGAGCATTGTTCCCTAATGGGTCACAGAGGATGACAGATGGGCGTGCAGGGGAACTAGATGAGTCTTTTCCATTCACCTATCCCATTCAGTCATGGCTCTGTTCTGAAATCGCAGAGTAGAAGTCACAGGACACAGTCATTCAAATGCCAACGTGGCATCTCACAGAGATGCCTACAGATATTCAAAGTTAGCATGCACCGGCCAGAGACCAAACTCTTCATCAGGAGCGCAGGTGCCTCTGCCACTCTGGCCACGTCACTCGCCATTCACACCTGAAGAGCCCAAAGCATCCTTGAGTCACGTCCATCCGTGGATCCAATCATCCACCAGCTTATTAATTCCTCTTTCATGTGTTTACCCACTCGAGAATCCATCTGTCCATCCATCCATCCACCCACCCGCCCATTCAGCCATCCGTCCACCTATCCACACACCCATGCATCCATCAGTACGCCCCACCATCTATTCAACAAGTGACATATGAGCACTTGGTGTGCCAAGTACTGGGTCCAAGCACCAAAGATATCATGGCATGCAGACATCCAAATAGTTTAGCATGTCCTTCTCAACTTCCTGAATCTATTTGACTCTAGCTCTGTTCTCTTTTACTTCCAAAACAATCCTCAAATCTGTTCATTTCACTTAAACCACCGTCATCCCAGCCACCTCCACTCTTGTCCAGCTCGGAGCAAGGAGTTACGCGCTTCCTACCCACTGCTAATTTAGATTCCTGTTAACCTCTCCCTTCTATGGAAGCCAAAGACGTATTTGAACATAAATCAGATCACTTGCTTGCTTCTGTCTATTCCTTGAAAGTTATCTATGACCTCAGGGTCCTCGGCTCCCCGTTTACTCTGACTGATACGCTTTCCCCCTACCTCCTCATTATTTAGATACCAAATGCCTTCTCCTGGCCTCTGTCAGGTCCCCAAGTTATTTCCTTTCATACCAAATGTGATTTGACTCTGTGGTGTAATGAAGCGTGGCCCATGATCTGTAGAACGTTCCTGTACCCCCTTGTCTCACAGTACTGTAAATACCAGGAAGGCAGGGATGATTTGTCTGTCTCCTCTTGTGCCCCCAAAGCAGACACTCCATAAACTCCGGTCTTGCAAACAAATATCCCAACAAAGGCAGCATTTCTCCAAGTCAGAGGTCCAGAACCACCTATCAGCCATTTCCCAGGACTGACCAGCTCACGGCCATGGGGGCTGGGTCTCAGCGTTGCCCTATGCTCTGTCCCTGGAGTATATTCAATGGCCTTAGGGTATGTCTGTGTACCCACCCTCCCTGGCAGCTGCGCAGTTGGGAGAGATCCCAGAAGTGCAGGTGGGCATGCAGGTGGGCCATGGCTTCATCTTTGGTCATTATGAGCAGTAAAGCATCCTTCCGGCCCAGCTTCCTGTGACCCTCACAGCTCTTTCCCCTTCCTTAGCTCTCTGGAGCCTGCTCTGCCACACCTGGGGGGTGGACTAGGCTGACCTCCAAATCCTCATCTGACCCATAAGGCGCCCGAGGCTCCCATTCCTCAATGTCCCTGGACTTGGAAGAATTGAGGGCCCCTGGCCTTTGCTACTGATACTCCCAAACCACCTTCTGTAGGCCAGGAGCAAACGAACTTTCTCTGACTCCCGTGAAGTTCACAGGTGGGAACTCTGACAGAGTGGTTGTCCAGTCCTTGCACCCAAAGGGCTTCCCAGTTTGGAGAGTGGGTGTCTTAGGGAGGAGGGATCTTACCTTCTTCTGGATGCAGACTCTGGTGCCCTAGGCTGTAGGGACTTCAGAGGCAGAAAGCAGTGACTGGGAGAAGGGAGACCCCTAGGATTTCCTGTCCTTTGCAGCAGAGAGTGGCCGAGGACAGCAGTGGTTCTGCCTCCTTGCCTGTTGCTGAGAAAGGTTCCACACAGGTCAAACTCCAAACTCCAGCCTCGGTGGCGGCAGCAGTTTTAAAGGAAGCCTGGATGATCTCCTCAGAACCCTTGAACTCTGAGCAGGCCCCTGCGAGGGAAGGGGCCTGCCTTGCTCTCACTGGGCCTTGGCCAGTGCCCTCACCTGGCAGGGGGCCCATGGCCTGGAGAGGCAGGGGAGACTGGAGCCTGGGCACTGGGCTGCCTTTCTCCCCCACTCTCCCGCCTCCCCTCCACTCTGGGAGTAGGCAGCCTTAGGACAGCTGGAGGAGGAGGGGAAGGAGGGGGTGCAGGAGACAAAAGGGACATGCCCAGAAGGACTTTTCCAGCCCCAACCACTGACAGTAGCAGTCAGTGTGGCAGTAACTGCTTTTCATCTCTTCAGACCAAAGCAGAGCAGGCACACGGCATCTAGACAAAGTGCTGAGCACTGAGCCACGGACAAAGCGCACATAGCAGGCAGTACTCCAGGGTAGTCAGGAGAAGAGCTGCAAGGCTAACAGCTGCTTGGGGCTGCAAACACTTTAATTTCTAGCATTTGCAGATTGCTATGCTTCATCTTCACCATCGGTGTACCTGGATTAAAAACCACCTAGGAGAGACCTGTCCGTATGTCTGCCTGGATGTTTCCAGAGAGGTGAACCCGGGAAACCTACCCTGAATGTGGGCAGTCCCGTCCTACGGAATGAGTTCTTTAATCCCAGCACTAAGAGTAGGAGACAGGCAGATCCCAGGGCTCATGGGCCAGTCTGTCTATCAATCAATGAGCTTCAGGTTTAGTGACTCTGCCTCAAAAGATAAGGCAGTAGAAGGGTGTAGTGGTGCACGCCTTTAATCCCAGCACTGGGGAGACAGAGGCAGGTGGATCTCTGTGAGTTTGAAGCCAGTCTGGTCTACACAGTGAGTTCTAGGACAGTCATGGCTATATAATGAGACCCTATTTTGAAGACTATCATCATCATGCAGCCAATGATAGAGAAAGGCACCTGACTTCAACCTCTGGCTTCTGTCCACGTGTGAGGGTGAGTGCACCCACACACATTGCACACACACACACACACACACACACACGTTGAGTCGAGCACATTCATTCATCCTTCTCTGCCTCTTGACTGTGGGTACAACAGGACTTGTGCCTCCCGCTGCTGCCACTTTGTAGCCAGACGACTTCATCACCCCAGTTTGATTTGCTTTTGTCAGCTACGTTTGTCATAGCGACCCAAAGCACAGTTCGAGACTCCATCCTGAGTGTCCCACCTTTCTAGAGTAATAAAGAGCTGGCCACAGCAGGCATACATCACAAGACAGTCAGGGCTGGAGTGCAGTTGTGGCTACGTCCTCTCTCTGTGCCTGCCCTGGCATAGAGTAGCCTGCAGGCAAGAGAAGCACAGGTTTGTGTCTGTCTACACCAGGCTCTGTTCTAAGTGCTTGTGTGTGTGTGTGTGTGTGTGTGTGTGTGTGTGTTTGTGTGTGTGTGTGTGTTTCCAACAGACTCCAAGGAAGGTCCTGTTAGTGTGCTCATTCTCCTGGCCAGGAGCCAGGTAGTGGAAAAGTGAGTATCCAGCTAATACAAAGGGCAGAGCTAAGGTGTAAATGCAGACCAAGGGATTCTAGAGTCTTCAGAGGGCAGAGGCAGTGGCTTGGCGGTGTGTGCAGCTGGACAGAGGGAACCTGGCATTATGCGTTGGTCCTGAGGGCAGAGCCTGCCAGAGAGAGAGATTTTCAAAAGGAGCCGCTGAGACTGGAAGTCAGGGACCTGTGATCTGTGGCTGCAGGACACAGCACCGGGGACAGAAGTGGGCTGTTGTGGATGACACTCTGCAGCCCCAATCCAGTCCTAACTTCTTTGAGCACATCTGGGGCGGGGGATGCTGGGACAGGTTCCAGGAGCTTCCAGAGGAAGCCTGCATATCCAGCAAAGCAGGACACAGGGTGCTGCCACCAACTGCAGAGAATGCACCCCCATGGGAGTGAGTCACTCCCCAATGGTGTCACAGTTTAGGAAGCTTTTTGTAATGTTCTACAAAGCCCATGATTGTCATATGTGAGGGCCAGGGGTGACCCATTCAGCCATGGCTGTCACCTCTGACAGCTGCTCTGACTGCCAGGTTTCACTGCCTTTACCCAGTGATTAAGAATAGGTTAGAATGATGTTGTAGCTATTGAAGAGAACTATTTGGGTTTGAGATCCATACCCCTCCCTGTTCCTGGGGCTTTTCTTTTATTAATTTTTGTTTCGCTTTATGTTTTTTTAATATTCTTTTTTATTTTAATATTTATTTATTCATTTATTATGTATACAATATTCTGTCTGTGTGTATGCCTGCAAATCAGAAGAGGGCAGCAGACCCCATTACAGATGGTTGTGAGCCACCATGTGGTTGCTGGGAATTGAACTTAGGACCTTTGGAAGAGCAGGCAATGCTCTTAACCTCTGAGCCATCTCTCCAGCCCTCACTTTGTGTTTTTCAGTTCATAGCTCTCACTGAGGCTCTTCACGTACGTGTGCATGCTGTACTTTCATTCGCCAGCCCCCATCATCTTCCTCGGTCTCCCCCCTCCCCCATTGTACACCCTTCCCCTTCCCTGCATGCCCCATATATTTCCTTCCACTTTGAAACTTAACTAAGATCGCCTACAAAGTGATGGGCTGCACAGTGGCATTCTCACACCTGCATCATTGTGCTCATCCAAGTCATCCTCTGCCTCCCTCCAGCTGGCTCTGTTCCTCCTCTCAGATCTGTAACATATACCCTCTTTCTTCCCTCTGCTTCCGTTAAAGAGCTGTTCTCAAGATCCCCCCTCTCCAGTTTCTAGACCCCCCCACACATATATAAGTTTAAATCTATGCTCTGCATATGAGAAGAAACCTGTGTGTGCGGTACCTGTCTTTCTTTGCCTTCATCACCCCCTTTGGCTCCTCCTTCCCACTTGAATGAATGTGTCCACACCCCAGATGGCTCCTTCTGCTCCCTTGTCATACACATAGGCACACTTTTTTCTGGTCTGAATTGCACTTATGAGAAAAAACATGGTATTTGCCTTTCTGAGTCTGGCTTATTATACTTAACATAATGCCCAGGTATGTTATTTTCAAAACTATCCAGATGTCCCTCCCAGGTGGGTCTATCTCCTGTGACACAGCTGTCCCACCCCTAGATATCTCTCAAGAGCAGTGATAACTCGCCTCCTGCAAACACCCACGCACAGCAGAGGTAATGGCAAAGCAGGAAAGTGACAGACGTCCTGGGACAGGAGAGCGGGAAGCAGCTCAGGCACCTTGGGATACCCTTTGAAACAGCTGCGTAAGGGGATCCTACCGGGCTGCGTGGGGCCTGTGGCAGAACACTTCCCTAGCAAGTGCCGGTTCCTGCACCCCATCCCCAGCACAGCAAAACAACAGAGCACACCAAGAGCAAGTCGCTGCAGACTCACAATGTCAGCAGTGAGTTTCACAAACAAAAAGAGCACACACATGATACCCCAGGGACAGGAAGCTCAAAGGCCGGAAAGACCACAGTGGGAGGATGGAGTGGCTGAAAGCGGAACACAGGGTACTCTCTCCACCGGTGGAGGAGAGAGAAAGTGTGTGTGTGTGTGTGTGTGTGTGTGTGTGTGTGTGTGTATGTGTGTCTGTATGTGTGTGTGTCTGTGTGATCTTCACATCATTCTCCATCTTAGTTTTGAGTCAGGGTCTGTATTAGTCAGAGTTCTCTGGAGTCACAGAACTTATGGAATGAATCTCTATATATATTTATATCATCTATAGATAGATAGATAGATAGATAGATAGATAGATAGATAGATGGGAATTTAATAGAATTTATTAGAATGACTTACAGACTGCAGTCCGACAATGGCTGGTCGTGAATGGAAAGTCCAAGAATCTAGAAGCTGTCCGGTCCCACGAGGCTGTGTCTCAGCTGGACTGGCTGTGCTGACAGGCGAGGACAAGCAGGCAAAGCACAAATCCTTCCTTCTTCCGTCATCCTTCTATCGGATTCCAGCAGAAGGTGTGCCCAGATTAATGGTGTGCTTTACAGCCTCCAGGTCTGGATTAAAGGTGTATTCCCCTGCCAGACACACACCCCTAACCCATCTCCCGCTCAAAGTCTGGATTAAAGGCCTATGTCACCCAGATCAAAGATTCAGATCAAAGGCGTGTTGTCTCCTCACCTCAAGATCTGGATCACAGGTATGCCCTCCATTTCTGGATTATAGTTCATTCCATATAGAATCAAGTTGACAATCAAGAACAGCCATCACAGGGTGAGCCAGGAACTTATCAGTTCAGCTGGCCGGCTGGCCAGTGTGCTCCATGGATCCACCTAGTCCTGCCCCTGCCCCCACCTATTTCTGCCCCCACCTCCTGCCCTCAGCACTGAGGTCTCGGGGGCATTCTACCATTAGAAACCACTGAGTAGGTTGAGATATGCGCATATTGCTATGTTTAAAATTCTCCTTTACAAATGGGAGCAAGACTGGAGAGATCACTCAAGGGCTAGTGCACACACTGCTTTTCCAGAGGACTAGAGTTCCGTTCCCAGCACTCATGTCTGGTTGCTCCACGGGGATGGGATACCTCTGGTCTCCATGGTAGCCTGCACATACCTATACACATACCCAGGCACAGACACACCACTAAAAACAGTACAAGGTTTTTAAGTGGAAGCAACTGTGTGAATAAGCCCGGCCAGTGTGATTTCTGGTACCAGGTTGGTGGCAGCTCAGGCCCTTTTCGAACTCTTTCCTCCCAGGTATTTGCTGCTACTTAAGAACATGGGTCTCAAGGAACCAGAGTTCCTGATTTTTCGAGAGAAATTCCAAAGTCTAGATGAGTGGTTCTCAACCTTCCTACTGCCGTGACCCTTTAATACAGTTCCTCACATTGTAGTGACCCCCCATCACAAAACTGTTTTGATGCTATTTTAGAACTGTAATTTTGTTACTGCTATGAATTATAATATAAATACCTGATATGTGATCTCTGGTGGAGTCTCATGACCCACAGGTTGAGAACCATTGGTCTGGATTTTCCTTTTTTTTTTTT